ATTTGTTAATGATTTTTGGTTATGTAACTCAGACTGCATATGTCTACAGATATTTCAAATATCATTTTAAAATTCACTTCCGGTCACGTGATTTTCTGTCCTCAAAATGAGACGTTATCATAGCTAGATCCTGAAAGTGGTAAGAAGATTAAGACACCAAACTTATAGGAATGGTAGAGCTTGATAAGAAAGCAAATCCATTTGGGTTAACATCGTCCGTGCGGCTGTCACTTCCGGTTGTCACAGGAAGTGATCAAATAAATAAAAAAAATCAATAGTTCTTTATGGAATCTTTCTTAATAATACATTATAGCATCTTATTTGTAATTTTGAAATATATTAGTCCCACTGGAAACAAAATCGACAACTTCCGGTCATGAGAGGAAACTGCATAAATTGAGTATCATACTAAACCATAAATATCTTTTATAAAAAGAGTATTTGAAATGGTCTTAGGACATGTCATTCAGACTGAAATGTCTAGAGTAACCTCAAATATCTTTTGAAAAATTACTTCTGGTCACGTGATTGCCCTCAAAATGAGATGTTAATATGACGAGACCTCTTAAATTAAACTGTACTAGATCAAGACACAAAACTTATATGAATGATAAATCATTAAGATTGGGCAACAGATATAGCGTAAAATCCGTCTTCCGTCACTTCCAGTCATCACAGGAAGTGATATAAAAATTGAAAATGATTTTTTGTATATGTTATTAAGACTATAATTGTCTTAAGTAACATCGGGAATCTTCCTTTTTTTTAAACATAGATAAAAATTCGTACATACAGATAAATAGAGGAGAACGGAAGACCTTCGTTGTTGCTGTAGCAACAAGAGTTTCTAGTTATTATTATTATTATTTTTTTTTTTCCCCTTTTGTAATTTCTTTTTTTGACGATTTCTCAGAGATGACTGGACAGATTCTTATGAAATTTTCAGGGATGATAGAGAGTAAAAATATCTTTCAAATGTAGTTTTCAGTTTTTCAAAATTCACTTCCGGTCGTCAAATATGTCCGATTTCCGTTTTTCCAAAAGTGATCATGTCCGGACGATATCTCAGAAACGATAACAGATTAAGACATAAAACTTTCAGGAATAATAGATCATGATAAGTAGATTTGTGCAATCCGTTTAAATCCGTCCTCCGTCACTTCCGGTCGTCACAGGAAGTGATCTAAGAAATCGAAAATTTCAACTTTTTCTTTTATGAAACTTTTTTGCATCACATTATAGTATCTTATTTGTACTTTCGAAATATGTCAGGCCCACCGGAAACAAAAACGACAACTTCCGGTTATAAGAGAAAAACTGCATATTTTCAGTATTTTTCTTTCCCATAAATATTTTTTATAGATAAAGTATTTGTAATGATTTTTGGATATGTTATTCAGACTGCAAATGTCTACAGTAACGTCAAATATCTTTGTAAAATTCACTTCCGGTCGCGTGATTTCCTGTCCTCAAAATGAGAACTTATCATAGTTAGATCTCGTAAACGGAAGAAGATTAAGACACCAAACTTATACAATTGGTAGATCTTGATGAGTAGGCAAATTCAGTTTGCATAAGATTGTCCGCCGTCACTTCCGGTCGTCACAGGAAGTGTTCCAAAAAATCAAAAATTTTCAAATTTTCTTTTATTAAACTTTTTTGGCATGACGTTATAATATCTTATTTGTATTTTTAAAATATATCAGTCCAACCGGAAACAAAAACGTCAACTTCCGGTTTTAAGAGAAAAACTGCATAATTTTAGTATTTTTCTTTCTCCTAAAAATTTCTTATACATGACATATTTGTAACGATTTCTGGATATATAATTCAGACTGCAAATGTCTACAGGAAGGTCAAATATCTTTGTTAAATTCACTTCCGGTCGCGTGATTTTCTGTCCTCAAATTGAGAAGTTATCATAGCTAGATCTCGTAAACGATAAGAGATTAAGACACCAAACTGTTTCAAGTTGTAGATCTTGATGAGTAGGCAAAACCAGTTGGGATAACATTGTCCGCCGTCACTTCCGGTTGTCACAGGAAGTGATCAAAGAAATCGAAAAATTCAACTTTTCTTATAGAAACTTTTTGCATCACATTATAGCATCTTATTTGTAGTTTTGAAATATGATAGTATCACCGGAAACAAAATCAACAACTTCCGGTTAAAAGAGAAAAACTACATGATTTGAATATTTTTCTTTCCCATAAATACTTTTTATAGTCAAAGTATTTGTAATGATTTTTGGATATATTATTTAGACTGCAAATGTCTACAGTAATGCCTAATATCTCAGTAAAATTCACTTCCGGTCGCGAGACTTCCTGTCCTCAAAATCAGAAGTTATCATTACTAGATCTCGTTAACGGTAAGAGATTAAGACACCAAACTACTAGGGGTGGTAGACCTTGATGAGTAGACAAATCCTTTGAGTTTAAGATCATCCACCGTCACTTCCGGTTGTCACAGGAAGTGATCAAAGAAATCAAAATTTTAAACTTTTCTTTATGGAATCTTTCTTAGAATTATCTTATAGCTTCTTACTAGTAGTTTCGAAATATGTCGGTCCCATTGGAAACAAAAACGACGACTTCCGGTTATGAGAGAAAAACTGCATAAATTGAGCTTCTTACTATCCCATAAATATCTTTTATAAAAAGAGTATTTGAAATGATTTTGGGACATGTTATTCAGACTGCAAATGTCTAGAGAAACCTCAAAATGAGACCTTTGACCCTTACTCAAAAAGTAATAAAGAAATATTCATTACCTTTATCTAGATTCAGCTTCAAGTCTTTATCTCAAGTTTCAAGTTTACATCTCTCTCTCTCTCTCTCTCTCTCTCTCTCTCTCTCTCTCTCTCTCTCTCTCTCTCTCTCTCTCTCTCTCTCTTTGATGACCTTGACCTTTGACCTTGTTCTTTGGCCCCATTGACCCAAAGGTCACAATCAAGCTTACGGTCGTGGAGGTATTTGCAACTCTTACTCTAACAAATGCTTATAAAATATCCCCTCCCTTCTCAAAAAAAAAAAACCAAAACAATCAATACCAACTTAGAGAAAATGTCTACAAGTCAAACGAAACGAAATATCGGCATAAGATTCGTAATAAAAGAAAGAAGAGACCTGAAAGAAAGTGTCCTGAGAGTTTTAAGGTGAGTCTCTGAAGTATTTTGATATTCTAGTGAATATCGGCAAAATCTGCATTTTTTTTCTGTCTGAAATTAAGTTATTGCTTAGCATAAAAATTAATTAAAACTCACTCGTATTGGCTATTTCTGCAATTATTGTTAATATCATTCAATTCTCCTGCTCCAATACGACATTTTAATACCAAGTATTCTTGCTTTCTTAGGTGTATGGAATTTATTTTAATTTTATTTAGATTTAAATATGAATCGGCTGAAACTCGGAAATGACGATTTTTCATATCAATTAAATTTCCACGCAATTGAGATAGGTTAATTGCAGTTACCCCGCTTGATACGATATGGTGTTGAAAAAATGCCCATGACTCATTCACTGTTTTTCCGGGATTTTGAATTTCCTCTGCAACTGACCACGTGTATTACTTTCGCTTTTACAACTCTGTATATGCTAAGTGTCATTGCTTCACTGCAAATGTGTCCCATAATTATTCTAATCATTTTCCTACATACAATATCACATCAAACAGCCAATATCTCAGTTTTTTAAGAAATTTGACCGGGACTTTACTACGAAACTATTTCTTTCACTTCGAAACTATTTCCTTCAACCTTAAAATAATAAGCTTACAAAATACCTTAAATGTTGTGGAATTTGGTGGCTCAGTGGTTAGCGTGTCCGACTTTCACACTAATGGTTTTGGGATCGAGCCCAGATGGAGGAATTTTTTTTTTTTTATTTGTTGCATTTTATTATTATTCTTTTTTTTCTTCTTTGTTTTTTTTTTTAAATAGAAAAATATCCTTCTTACAGATAAAGTGAAATGACTGATATACTTAATATGGCCATAACTATTACATTTTTTGATGAAATGCTTTGAAACTTATTTCATAAGGAGTCATTACATTTTTTGATGAAATGCTTTGAAACTTATGGATATATTAATTGTGTTAATAATATGACACTGTCAAATTAGCATTAGGACATCCTACAATATAGTATGGAAAAAATTTCATGAAATCACGCGCATGCACGTGCGCTCTAATCTGATTGGCTGAAACTTTAAATGGCTATATCTCCTTTGTTTTTTGACGAAATGCTTTGGAATTTAAAACATAGTCTTGCATTAGGATACCCTGCAATATGATATACAAAAATTTCAAGAAATCAGGCTCATGAACGTGTGCTGCAACCTGATTGGCTGAAACTTTAAATTGCTATATCTCCTTTCTTTTTTGATGAAATGCTTTGAAATTTAAAACATATTCATGCATTGGGATATCCTACAATATGATTTAGGAAAAAATCCCTGAAATCACGCGCATGCACTTGTGCTGCAATCTGATTGGCTGAAACTTGAAATGGCTATAATTCCCTTGGTTTTCAACCAAACAGGATGGGATTCAGAATCTAGATAGATATAAGGGCCTACTACAAGAAGGTATGGTCATCATGCACGTGCACGCACGTGCGTGCATTTGGAAAGAGTGAAATTAAAAATACACTTGAATGAGTGATTTTTAATATTTTTGGACTAAATGGTTTAAGATATAGTATATTTAAATATATAGAAAATTGTAGACAAGATGATATGATCATTGCGCACGTGCATTCACATGCTCACGCCTGCAATGTTAAAATTTGAATATAATCGGTATCCCTCTGCGAAAACGTTGTTAAAGGCAAAAATGCACAGATGTTGTCTTATTTAATAAGGATTACATGGAATATGGCACCAAAAGGGAGCTGGGGAGCGTTTGGGGAACATCTGTAACGGTTCCCGTTACAATTAGCACTAGTTGTATTTGATTTATCCTTTTTTCAGTGTGATATTTTCTTTTTTATTTTTAGTAGGAAAGTCTGTAAATATTGCTATAATTCTGGCCACACTGATTATTGATGGTAAAAAGTATGGTATGCATCCATTCCTGACCCCCCTACGGAGCATGGAGGATCACCAGCCACTTCCAGGTATAAATTATGTAGATCAACAAATTTTTCAACAATTTAGTTTGGGGATGTAGTTGTTAGGCATTTATAAACAAGACTCAGTTTTCTTGAAATTTGTTCATTGGGATATCATGGTTTAATGCAAAGAAGAGTGAGAATTGTGAAAATTTCCAAAGCAGATGGTGTTATTCAGCTTTGCAGAAATTAAGTTATCACAGATAAAAAAAAACAACTTTTATATAATACAGATTTCCAACTGACAAATACCCTTACAAGATATACACTGTAACACAGCAGTCCAGATTTCTTATTTCGACACACAGCTTATGAAATATGTGTTGTGTTTTACGTTATATTCACTACATGTACCAGCTAAGATATAGAAAAAAAAATATTCACAAAGAATATCATTTTAAAGAGTATTCTCCATCTATGACATCTTTTAGAGTCAAAATCAATAATAGAACTGAAGAGGCAGATTGAACTAAAGACAATTACATGTATATTATATTGATGACATCTTTTTTTAGGTATTAAGGTTGGAGATATTGGACCCAAACTTTCCATTAATTCAGCTGACAATGGATTTCTCATCTTAAACAATGTCAGGATCCCAAGGGAGAACATGTTAATGAAGAATGCCCAGGTGTGTTTATAGGTTAATAACATGGTAGGCTAGTCTGTAGAGTGAGAACTGTGAAGTTAGGTGTGTTTACTACTCAGTCTCACTGAGAATTGGTTGCTGCTGTTCATTTGCCAAGCATTTGGCATCATTGTAGTTAATAGTAAAGAATTTATATCATGAGCATATGTGTATTTTGAAAAAAATGATTTTAAAACCTTATATAATTTAAGAACTTGTTGTACAATGCACATTTGTCAAGCTGGATATAAGTAGAAATTCTGATAATTTATCTTGCACATTGTCAAGACAAAGCAAATACATGTATTTTTAGGTCACCTGAGTAAACTCAGGTGACCTATTGCTATCCGTTTTCGTCCGTCGTCGTGCGTCGTCCGTTAACATTTGAACATTTTCAGCTTCTTCTCTGCAACCACTGAACCAATTTCAACCAAATTTGGTACAAAGCATCTATGGGTGAAGGGGAACAAAAATTGTGAATTTCATGGTCCCTGCCCCCCTGGGGCCTGGGGGGTGGGGCAAAAACCACTAAAATTAATGCAATTTTTAAAAATCTTCTTCTTTACTCCTGGACATCAAGCAGTTAAACTGTTTGCATGATTGTAACCAGCATTGAGTCCTCTACCAAAATTGTGAAATTTATGGCCCCAGGGTCAGGGGTTCTAGTGCTAGGGTGGGGCTAAATAAGTATATAGTGAAAATGCATTATTTCTTTGAAAATCTTCTTCTCTGCTCCTGGGTATTAAATAAACTAACTAAGTGCATAGTTATGATGAACAAGAGTGCCTCTTTCAAAATTGTGAATTTTATGGCCCTAGGGTCAGGGGTTCTAGTGTTAGGGCGGGGCTCTATAGATTATATAGTGAAAATTCATGAATTCTTAAATAATCTTCTTCTCTGCTCCTGAGTATTAAATAAACTAATTAAGTGCATAGTTATGATGAGCAAAAGTGCCTCTACCAAAATTGTGAAATTTATGACCCCGGGGTCAGGGGTTCTAGTGCTAGGGTGGGGCTTAATAAGTATATAGTGAAAATGCATTATTTCTTTGAAAATCTTCTTCTCTGCTCCTGGGTATTAAATAAACTAACTAAGTGCATAGTTATGATGAGCAAGAGTGCCTCTACCAAAATTGTGAATTTTATGGCCCCGGGGTCAGGGGTTCTAGTGCTAGGGCGGGGCTCTATAGATTATATAGTGAAAATTCATGAATTCTTTGAAAATCTTCTTCTCTGCTCCTGGGTATTAAATAAACTAACTAAGTGCATAGTTATGATGAGCAAGAGTGCCTCTACCAAAATTATGAAATTTATGACCCCGGGGTCTGGGGTTCTAGTGCTAGGGTGGGGCTAAATAAGTATATGGTGAAAATGCATTATTTCTTTGAAAAGCTCCTGGGTATTAAATAAACTAACTAAGTGCATAGTTTTGATGAGCAAGAGTGCCTCTACCAAAATTGTGAATTTTATAGCCCCAGGGTCAGGGGTTCTAGTGCTAGGGTGCGGCTCTATAGATTTTATAGTGAAAATTTATGAATTCTTTGAAAATCTTCTTCTCTGCTCCTGAGTATTAAATAAACTAAACAAGTGCATAAGTATGATGAGCAAGAGTGCCTCTACCAAAATTGTGAAATTTATGACCCCAGGGTCAGGGGTGCTAGTGATAGGGTGGGGCTCTATTGATTATATAGTGAAAATACATTAAATCTTTGAAAATTTTCTTCTCTGCTCTTGGGTATTAAGCAGATGAACTACCTATGTAGTTATGATGAGCAAGGACCCTAATCTTCCAGAATTGTGAATTTCAAGGCCCCAGGGTCAGGGGTACCATAGGTTGGGGGGTGTACTTATATACTGAAACTGGATGAATTGTTCGAGATCTGCTCCTTGGTATTAATCAAATATTTTTGAAAAGCAAGGGTGCCTTTTCAAAAATTGTGCAATGTGTGGATCTAGGCCTAAGGGTCAGGGGTTCATGTGTGATTGGGGCATTACTGATTATTGCTGAATATTACTGATTACTTGAAATGCATTTTTGTTCCCACACCCTGCCTATGGGTATTAAGTAAACAAACTAAGCAACTGCTAAGTGTATTGTTATGATGATCAAATGGTGCCTCTTTCAAAATTGTGAATGCCATAGCATCTTGCTTAAAACATTAATCAAATTAAATCGCTGGAAAGTTGTTGCATAATGCTCAGGTGACCTATAAGGCCCATGGGCCTCTTGTTAAATAACAGCTCAGTTACATATATTTAGAATCCCTTCACTTTTATAATATTAAGTTAAATGTTGATGTAAATTTTTATTTTTTCTTTGTGAAGGTCAGTAGGGAAGGTCATTTTACATCTAGAGGCCCAAACAAGGGGAATTATGCTGCCATGATGTTGGTCCGAGTCAATATAGTAAACTGGTGCTTCACCTCCCTTAGTAACACCAGTACAATAACTATACGATACTCCTCCATTAGACGGCAATCCAAGCTTGATCCAAGGTAGGCAGCTTATGTGATTTTTAGGTCACCTGAGTAAACTCAGGTGACCTATTGCTATCCGTTTTCGTCCGTAGTCGTGCGTCGTGCGTTGTGCGTCATGCGTTAACATTTGAAGATTTTAAGCTTCTTCTCTGCAACCACTGAACCAATTTCAACCAAATTTGGCACAAAGCATCTATGGGTGAAGAGGAACAAAAATTGTGAATTTCATGATCCCTGCCCCCCAGGGGCCTGAGGGGTGGGGCCAAAACCACTAAAATTAATGCAATCTTTAAAAATCTTCTTCTTTACTCCCAAGCATCAAGCAGTCAAACTGTTTGCATGATTGTAATCAGCAATGAGTCCTCTACCAGAATTGTGAAATTCATGGCCCTGGGGTCAGGGGTTCTAGTGCTAGGGTGGGGCTAAATAAGTAGGTAGTGAAAATGCATTATTTCTTTGAAAATCTTCTTTTCTGCTCCTGGGTATTAAATAAACTAACTAAGTACATAGTTATGATGAGTTAGAGTGCCTCTACCAAAATTGTAAATTTTATGGCCCCAGGCTCAGGGGTTCTGGTGTTAGGGTGGGGCTCTATTGATTATATAGTGAAAATACATGAATTCTTTGAACATCTTCTTCTCTGCTCCTGGGTATTAAATAAACTAACTAAGAGCCTAGTTATGGTGAGCAAGAGTGCCTCTACCAAAATTGTGAATTTTATGGCCCCAGGGTCAGGGTTTCTGGTGTTAGGGCGGGGCTCTATTGATTATAGTGAAAATACATGAATTCTTTGAACATCTTTTTCTCTGCTCCTGGGTATTAAATAAACTAACTAAGTGCCTAGTTATGGCGAGCAAGAGTGCCTCTACCAAAATTGTGAATTTTATGGCCCCAGGATTAGGGGTTCTGGTATTAGGGGGGGGACTCTATTGATTATATAGTGAAAATACATGAATTCTTTGAAAATTTTCTTCTCTGCTCCTGGGTATTAAATAAACTAACTAAGTGCATAGTTATGATGAACAAGAGTGCCTCTACCAAAATTGTGAATTTTATGGCCCCAGGGTCAAGGGTTCTGGTGTTAGGGTGGGGCTCTATTGATTATATAGTGAAAATACATGAATTCTTTGAAAATCTACTTCATTGCTATTGGGTATTAAATAAACTAACTAATAAGTGCATAGTTATGATGAACAAGAGTGCCTCTACCAAAATTATGAATTTTATGGCCCCAGGGTCAGGGTTTTGGTGTTAGGGTGGGGCTCTATAGATTATATAGTGAAAATACATTAAATCTTAAAAAAAAATTCTTCTCTGCTCTAGGGTATTAAGCAGATGAACTACCTATATAGTTATGATGGACAAGGACCCTAATCTTCCAGAATTGTGAATTTCAAGACCCCAGGGTCAGGGGTACCATAGAGGGGGGGGGGCTGTACTTATATACTGAAAATGAATGAATGGTTTGAAATCTGCTCCTTGGTATTAATGTAATCAAATATCAAGGCCTAAGGGTCAGGGGTTCATGTGTGGTAGGGGCACTACTGATTATTGCTGAATATAACTGATTAGTTGAAATGCATTTTTTGTTCCCCTACCTTGTGTATGGGTATTAAGTAAACAAACTAAGCAACTGCTAAGTGTATTGTTATGATGAATTAAATTCAATCACTGGAAAGTTGTTGCATAATGCTCAGGTGACCTATAAGGCCCATGGGCCTCTTGTTTAATTTTGAAAAAGACTGGGATCCATTCAAATTGTAGAATTTAAAGAATTTATAAAATTTTAAAAATTGATTCCAATCCTTGTAGTCAGGAGGAGACCAAGATCCTTGACTACCAGACACAGCAGTACAAGGTCTTCCCAGCTCTTGCTACAACCTACGCCTTGTTCTTTGTCTCCAAGACTCTCCGTAACCGCTATTTGAGAATCCATACTGAAATGTTGAAGGGCAATTATCAAAACTTAGCAGAGGTACTTTATTTTAATAGGAATACCACCGTATTTAGCTTGATAAATATATACATTGTTAACTTCCATTCATGTTTCATTCATCAATGTAGTGTGCATCACTCAATTTTTCTGAGAGAATGTTTGATATTTTACAGTTACTTGTAGGTTCACTGTCATTACTCATTTAAATGTTCTGAAGTTAACTTAAAGATATTTATCCTGAGTGAGTCCTAAGTGTTTGCAGACCCGCTGTCAGTCATAAGTATGTTGTATAGCTGTATTAATCCTGTACTGTGTATCAGACATGTGAAGGTACACATATTTGTCCTTGTTTATAGATTCACTGTCAGTAGGCCGGTATTAAGGCCCTGTATTTTACCTGTACATTTGTTTGTAGATCCACTGTCAGTCGGCCAGTATGAAAGCCCTGTATTATACCTGTACATTTGTTTATAGATCCAGTGTCAGTCGGCGGGGATGAAGGCCCTGTATTATACCTGTACATTTGTTTGTAGATCCAATGTCAGTCGGCGGGGATGAAGGCCCTGTATTTTATCTGTACATTTGTTTGTAGATCCACTGTCAGTCGGCGGGGATGAAGGCCCTGTATTGTTTATAGATCCAATGTCAGTCATCAGGGATGAAGGCCCTGTATTTTACCTGTACATTTGTTTGTAGATCCACTGTCAGTCGGTGGGGATGAAGGCCCTGTATTATACCTGTACATATGTTTATAGATCCAATGTCAGTCATCAGGGATGAAGGCCCTGTATTTTACCTGTACATTTGTTTATAGATCCACTGTCAGTCGGCGGGGATGAAGGCCCTGTATTATACTTACACTTGTTTATAGATTCACTGTCAGTCGGCCGGTATGAAGGCCCTGGCGTCGGAGATGACGGTGGAGGTGATGGAGGTCAGCAGACAGGCCTGTGGGGGACACGGTTACCTGGCGGCCGCTACCCTGGGGGACGCCGTGGCAGCCTCCAAATCCCTTATCACGGCAGAAGGAGAGAACACTGTACTCTATCTACAGGTGGCCAGGTGTGTTGTCCTTAAGAAATCATAAAGATCAGTCATTTACAATGTACTAAGAACAAGATTTTAAAACAATTTTAAAAGTACATTGTACTGTGAATTTACAGAAACTATAATATCACTTATTCTTTAAAGGAATCATCAGCAATTTATGATTACCAGGGTATGCATGTCATTTTGGTAATTTTAATTTGTTCACTTAAATTATCCTTGCATGTAAGTGATAGATTCTTTGAAATTTACAGTGTGTACAAACTTGTAAGTAATTCATTTGTGCTTGGGCAGATACCTGATGAAGAGGTTTGCTGCTGCTGTCAGTGGGGATACACTGTCAGGGTCAACTGACTACCTTACAATGGACCCCAGTAAATACATGTGTCCCCTCAAATCCTCCAGGGACTGTAGAAATGTGGAACTACTGTGTGATGTGTACAGATTCAGAGCATTCTTGTCAGTATCAATTTATAATTGGAAATGTAGAGTGTAGGGTTAATGTTATTACAGTTCAAAATTGGAAAAAATAAAGTATAGAATATTAACATCAGTAATACTTAGTTTAAAGACAATAGATGTTTTGCTTCTCAATATTTGAAGATACATGTAATTGGCTAAATAAATTATAATGCTGAGCATTGTTTTTAAGAAAAACTATGGACCATCCATTAATATATACATTTTGTTTATGTTGTCTCAGTAAGCAAATGATAAAGGCTATTGAAGATGATATTTTTCAGATTCATAATTGTCCTAATGAACATATTTGTTATTCTAAATGAAAATTACTGAACACATAATGATAAAGTTATCATTTATATTATAATATTTTATTGTTCTTCATGGAATTTACAGAATGATAGCCAAGACTGCAAGAAAACTACAAAGTGATATAGAGGCAGGGAAAAAACAGGCTGTAGCTATGAATGACAATTTAGTACAACTGGTCCGCGCAGCAAAGGTCAGACTTTTTCATACTTTTTTTACATTTCTGTTTTTCATTACATGTAGTCTATCTCTTCAGTTATGGATAGAGCTTCTTATTTTGTCAATCTTGACATTGCAGTAAGTGGAACTAAAGTCCTGATACATCTTGTTTTACCAAGCTAAACTATGATATGGGAGATATTCCTCATATATTTCATTTACTTGAATTTAACAAGATTATTTTTTCAACATTTTACAATCTTTTGTCATGTAAGAACCTTCTTTAGCTTTTAAACCATTAAGACATGCTGATCATTAATTTGTGATGCATCAAAAATGTTTATACAGATATGAACATCTGTTGAGGGTATAAAACATGTACAGATTCTTGATAAAGAGCCCTCTGTACACTGCAGAACACTAATGAGTTCTGATTCTATGATAATTTCCTCAATTAGAGTGATTTGCCCTTAGATTTAAATTCTAAAAAATGTAAATTTACAGTGTATGATTACTCAATTTGTAATCAATTCAAGTATTCTCAACATTTTAAAAGGTCAAGATAAATTTAATGATCACTTTATTGACATTAATTTTGTTTATAGAAGTAAACAACAGTGATTTGTAATCACTGATACTCTGTTGTGTTTTAACATTTTTCCTGGGGAAATAAAAAAAAACATTTTGTATTGGTGTAGAGAAGGTCCTTAAAATGTTTCCTGTTTATTTGTCAAAGTACATACAATGAATATAGGGCTTGCCAATATATACCTTTTCCTATCTGAAATTTCACATATACATTAGTATACACAGTTACAACTATAATTGTATTAGTTTACATGTTTTTCACATGTCAGAGATCACACTGGGTAAATGTTAAACCTCATGTATTTGCTATGTCATGCATAGACTTTTTGTTTGTGTGTACATTCATTTATGGATCATTTGTGGATTCACAAGTACTTGGATTTTTATGGTAGTATTTAGAATGTACATAAGTATCATGGATTTTGATTGTTTGTAGGCCCACATCATGTACTGTATGGTTAAAGACTACAGAGAGAGTATGAGTCAGCTACAGACAAGCTTGCCTGTTTCCAGTGCTCTTCACAATCTCAACATCTTCTTCACTGTATTCAACATGGTTAAAAATGCAGGAGATTTCTTAGAAGTAAGAAAATGTATCAAATTAGATGAAACATTGCAACAATTATCATGTATCATACTTTAATTTAATTGAGTATTAAAATGTATCATTATATAATCTTCAATGTATACTGTGAAAATAATGTACAAGATAATTTTATAGGGTAAAATTTTGCAGAACAGCTATAATATTATTGTAAAATTAAAAATTTTTGATTGGTCAAATTTTCATGGTTTGAGGAAAATATATTGGTTCATGGGGATTTGATTTCATGGTTGATGAATTGTTCAGTATTAATATATGTGTATTTCATGGTGGACATAAAATTGTTGGTCTCTTCTTACCACAAAAACCACAAAAATTAGACCCCCACGAAAATTTGTGATTTCACAGTAACAGTAATTGCAGAAATAATAAAAAAACACAGTGGAATATATTTTCACTTTATTTAATTTCCTAAAAATCATAAATTTTAGGAAAAAACATTGAGATAAGATCTGGAAAGTGATTATGATATTGTATTTTCTAGACAGAATCTATTGGTCTGTCACAGATGGAATGGCTGAAAGAAGTAGAGCTTCAAATGTTAGCTAAAATCAGGTAAAATTATTGAAGCAATGTAGTACACAAATTAAATCTATCTAACATTAACACACCAGAGACAAATTATTATTGAAATGTGAAGATCCATGTGCACAGAAAGAGCAACTGTAGCTTTGTAAAATATGCCTTTAAACTTGGGAAAAGAGTATGAAAGTGCTAGAGACATTGAACATTGAACTTGTTAACCTTAACAGACCAGATGCTGTGTCACTAGTTGATTCCTTTGACATCCATGATGACACCCTTGGGTCGGTGCTTGGGTGCTATGATGGAAACGTTTATGAGAGAATGCTGAAATCAACGGAAAATGAACCTCTCAACCAATCTGATGTAAGTGAAAAATACATGACTGTCTCATAGAGTGTACATGTCCAAAAACAAAGCAATGTGCAAATATTGACTTACTGGGGTTTAGGCAAAATTGATTACTGGTACAGTATTTTATGAGCCTACAATCGTAAAAATATTTCCCAATGTGGATTGGAGGGCAATATTTTGTCCCAAAGAGGGCTGGCATTCTGTATACAGATTATTTTCGACACGTTATTTTTGCCGTTTCACACTTGCAGACAATTTTGCCCATTTTAAATTCACTTCATAGTTTTTTTTAGTAATTATACTGTATTCTTTGTACTTGCCCCATTTTAAATTCGCCCAAATGAGGGTAGGGACAAAATGGCAAAAATAAAACAAGGGGAAATTTTTTCCATGTATTCAGTTTATCAGTACATGTATTTTAATTTGGAGGCTTTTAATCTTGATTTCTTATCATTTGGACAGTTTCTGAGTATGATGGGACTGTATGATGTCTGATATGATTTCAGATCAAAATTTTGATTAAGAAATCCACAAACATTTCTAAATATTCTAATTAAAGTGTACATGTAGTTTGAAAAGGAGATATATTTAAGCACTTCACACATATTTTGATTCTAAGCTTGATAATATGGAGCTTTTAAGTTGACAGTTAACAAATATTGATTTTATACCTGTATTCTTCCATCTTGTAGGTTCACTATTCCTATCACCAACACCTGAAACCCTTCTTACAGAGGAACAATCACTCAAAACTGTAGAGGACACTTACTTAGAAACAACCACTAAAAATTCTAAAGGATACATACCAAGGAACAATAACTCAAAACTGTAAAGGACACTTAACGGTGCAAATACTGGAGCATGAGTTATAGGAAACATTGTGTTTATACATGTAAAGGTGTCTGTTTATCTCCAGTTTACATAGTAAAGGACAATCACTCAAAACTGTAATGGACATACTACTGGACAGAGGAACAATCACTCAAAACTAAAAAGGAAATATACAGAGGAACAGTCACTCAAAACTGTAAAGGACACTTACCTATGCATATACTGGAGCATGTGTTATACTAGAACATTTGTGTTTATAAAGGTATATATATCTCCAGTTTACATGGTTTCTGCTTGATTGTTGCAATAACATAATGGAGAAATTAACTTTTTTACCCCTAAAAAAGATTTAAGATAAAGAGGAAATTTACAGTATGACCTATAGAAAAAAATGGATGTCCCTCTTAAAAATGTTTATAATGTTATGTATTTAATGCTGTTACTACTTTTCAAGAGCATAGCTATGGTGATTTTGTATGATAAACAATTTTTGGGATACAATTTATGGAAATTTCTAAATTTATGGTCCTGGATAAGGGAGGTTTACTGTTACAGTATTAAGATTTGTAGCATTAATTTCTTACACATTTGATGAGAAAGATTTAAATGGCATTGAAAAAAGACAAGGATGATCTGTTGGACTATCTGTGATATTTTTATCTCTGTCATTGATTTTATTGCCACTTTAAAAAAAAATTAGCATAATTGTTTTGTTTTAGATTTTTCACTGAATATTGAATTTGATTCCTGGTTGTTGATTATGTTAATATTTGTTTTTATTTCGGCTTACTCACTTTTATTCATGCCTGTAACATGAATTTATATGAAGAAAAAGGAAATGTTTATTTTGGAGAAGAAGATATCTACCTCTAATGAACAGTTTACTCCTGTGTTTGTGAAGTGTAGTCTTCTTTGTTGACATTAAAGTTTCACAGGAAAAAAGAGTTATAGGAGTCACACTTATAATGAACTTGGTGCTTGTAAACATGTGCAGATGACTGATTCTCAGTTGCCTTTATATTTAGTACTATATAAAACATATCATGAACATGTGGAATAGAATATAGGGTGTTTAAATAAGGAATCAAAATTAATTGTTGCTGATACTTAGCTTTAAGTATGTGTCATGTGCTTATTCTTAAAGGATGTAAAATGTAAAAAATAGTTCTGTACTGATTTGGTGGTGAATAAATTATCTGTATAATAAGGCTCTAATTTTATTGAGAAAATGATTCCTGTCATAGTTGATACATATACTGGTCTTTTATTGCTTATTGTAATTATCATTTCTTAAATATATATATTTTTTTTAGATCCAAACATACTGTATTTTTTGACTTTAACTAAATTTGTTATACTGACATATTTTTAACGACACAGTGAAATAAAATTTATATTTATCAAAAAAAAAGTCTAAAGTTATTTAGTCACTTGAAGTAATTGGGATAATTCAGAATATTTATTAAACCACAGGTGTTCGCGTACCTATCAATTTTACCGAAAATTTCAGGAAATAAAAAGATAATACATAATACCTATAATAATAACAGTTATAACGTATTTTTTTTTATTTCCTGAAATTTTCGGTAAAATTGATAGGTACGCGAACTCCTGTGATTAAACCAATTTATATTTTTATGAATAAAAAAAAACATAATAAAATAATGAATGTCTGTATTAAGAAGTGATTTTTGTATATTTAGTATTGTAGTGTGTTCTTAATCTTTACAGTAAATTGTATAATGAAAAATGTGAAGATAATGATTTTAAGCAATACAAATCTGTGTAGAGGATATAGAAATTAATTCTATAGTAATTGCTTATTTCGTACAATGTAGGAAAAAACAAAACAAAAAAAGCATATTATCGAAATATTGACCGTTTTTAAGTTATAAAGGAAAAAACTTTCAAGGCCCCTAAATCCCTAATTTGAGGGGCAAGCCCCTTTATAATGATGTCATATGACAGATCTTAAAATTATTCACCACATTTATTCAACATGTCTTAACAAATTATTTTTAGTTTAAAAGATACATAAGGAAATATATGTAAATTTTTGCACTTTTAGGCATTCTCATTTTTGACCCCCTATCTAGCACCGTTTTGAGCGCAGAAATCGGAAAAGAAAAACTGATGTGCACAACTTCAATTCTTCTAGTATTTAAATTCAGTAGAATTTTTGCACCAGCTTTTGTCGTTTCTAAGCCTTTTTCTGGAAACGAATAGTACAAAATTTTCATTTAAAGGGAAATAACTCGACAGCGGAAGAGAATTTTCGAAATGTATGAAAATATTTTAATTTAGTTTTGTAACGTTTAAAACCTCTGAAAATTTGAGCGAAATCCGTTAAGAAATGAGCGAGTTATCAGGTCTCAAAGTTGGAGTCTAGAAAAAAAAGAATAATAGGGAATAATCTTAACCATCCAGAATCAGTAGAAGGTCTTCCGCCTGAGCGGAAGACCGTAATGATCTTAATCATCAGAATCAGTAGAAGGTCTTCCGTTGGAAACGGAAGACCTTAAAATATATATATATATATATATATATATATATATATATATATATATATATATATATATATATATATATATTTTTTTTTTTTTTAATTTTGCAAATAACGGTTCTAAATAAATCTATTTTTTACATCCACATTTAATCATTTAACTTTTGCAATCAAATGGTTAAATGAAGATCTAATCAGATGAAACTTTCATTACTTCCTTTTATTCTCGTTGAACTGACATCGTTAACAACTTAAATATATCATTATATATCGTATTTTGAGTGACTTGTTTCATGCCTATTGTTCGGCCACTGTTTTTATACTGAATTCCACAACGATAAATTCCGTCTGCTTCATCAATACAGGGCGCTAACGGCGGAGCGCAGGTCGACAGGGGATGCTTACTCTTCTTACGCATCTGATCCATCATGTGGGATTTTCAGGGGTCCGTGTTTTATGCCATCTTTACATAAGGCCACACCAATAAAATTTCTTGTTCTTTGGACAACTGACCCCAAAAAATTGGGGCGAGCGAGCGATTTGATAATTATAATATTAAAATTTTTATCAACAAAATTCTAGGCGTGAAGTAAAATAACGGAGCTGGCGATTATATATTTTTTTGTTTTCCTTTACATTTCTAGATTAAATCATTACCAAATCTTTTCCAATTGCCCTGATCATGTAAGACGTTCTATATTCCAATGTTTAGCGTATCATTAGGGCATTTGATACAGGTTCCTCATTTCATAAAGGTACAAAATTTTGTGAATAAACTCCTAATAATATAGAATATTAACTCTCCTATGCACCCCAAACCTTTGTTGTTTTCTGGATTCCATTTTTTTGTCCTGTACAAGATTTATCACTGTTAAAAAGTATTTGTTACCTCAGTCTTTTACATATATTTAAAAACAGTATTAACCAAATGTGATGTGATCAAGACTATGGACAATCACATAAAACTGGCCAATTACAACAGCACTACTCTTATCATTATTTTTCTGTATTTATTCCCAATATCAGAAGCTGAACATCGCCCAAAATTTTACTTCACATAATGATATAAAAAAATAAGACATTGTAAAAGTGTCTACAAGTACGTCTCATTGCTTATTATCATGTACAATTAATTCCAGCAATGATAAGTTATTATAGCATATAGAATTGACAAACATATAAAATATAATTAGAACGCAAAATAACAAGGTTGATTATCAGTAATAAAATGAGAAAATATCATTAAAATCAAAACTAATTTTTCTACTCTCAAGAGTTGACTGGTATATATTTTAAAATGAAGTATCAAAGATGTTTAAATATATTCTGGCTAATCGACGACAGCTTGGAATTAGGACAAGTAAACACGGAATATGTTTAAGAATTGTCTGAGGTGGAAACGATTCTACCTACATCTTGCATGCACTGTGGTTCAACTGGCGGGAAATAGAACGAAAATTTCCGGAAGCGGGAAATTTAAAATAATATTATTTTTACGTTTCTCTAAAATACGAGCGGGCGGGTCCGACGAACAAGAAATTTTATTGGCGTGGCCTAATCGTATTGTTTAGGGATTTGTGAGTTTCACTGTTCGTTATCTGTACCTTTTACATTGCATATGTTTACGTTTTTGCTGCACGTATCCGACCTTTTGTTTTTTGTCTTACGTCAGATTTTGATTTTAACAAAATAATTAAAATGATTGAAAATGTACTGAATATATATTTTCATTCTTCTCAGTTATTGTTAAATGATTTAAATGAAAAAAGGGAAAAATAAGATAAAAAGATAAGATAATATTTATTTAAAGTCGGGTACATCAACATAGAACATTAGCTCTGAAGAGCTATTTTCCGACTACATAATAATGTTACATAAAATACAACAATCATATATAATAAACAAGAAACAGTTTTTAAAAATTACATCGATATCACACTACTAAAATATCACTATTCCTCCGTGGTGCTTTACAATGACATAGTATTCACCACATTAAAACTGACAAACCTAAAATAACTTAAATAGCTTAGTTATGACAAATTAGCAAGTTGTTAGGAGATATTTTGAATAAGCATATAATTTTGAGTACAAAAATCAGCAACATACATGTAATTTACTAGTATATCCATTAATATCATAAGAGTGAAAAGATGTTAGCCAAAAAAATAATCTACAGAATTTAAAAACAAACCAGAAATACAGTCAACAGTACATTATAATGTTTTCATTTTTGTTTCACCTGATGTAGTGTTAATTTTTTTAGTTGGACGCATTATGAAAGTGAATGTTTGATAAAGTGAAAAGGTGTATTGTTCCTCTTTTGCCTAAAATCACCCATTTAATATTTGCTATGTACTGGTAGGTTGACTGGGAGCTGGTGAGTGGGTCGTTTTCTTATGTTCCCTTGAAGAGCTTTCCCTGAGTTTCTGAGACTGGTTATCCTGTGGGGAAGTTTTCTGATGTTCTAGTATATCAGGCTGCATGGGAGGCAGTGAGTGAGTATGTACTACTCTAGGGCTGTTTTCTCTGATGTCGTGGGATATATTCTTTTCTTTCTTTTTTGGAACAGTATCGTGTCCTTTTCCTCTCTGCACCTGTGGTCTATCTGGAATAATTTCACTTTTCTGCAGATTAAGTTCCCCAGGCTTTTTCCTTGGTCCAGCACTGTGTACCGCAACTTTTCCAGGTGACTGTGTCCCCTGCTTACTTATAATATCACGTGATGTATTTATTTCGTGATCATCCCTGTTGTTTAATAACTTTTGTTGAGCACGAGTAGGTGTCTCAATATCGCCTTGATGTCTTGCTGATGTTTCTGTATCATCTGTTATGGTTGACCTGCTGTCTGCGACCCCCTTCAACAAGTTATTTTCCCTCTCTTCCTTCTCCTTCTCTTTTCGAATCCTTTGTTTTTCTCTGTTTATCCTTCCTGCTTCAAGCATCTTTCTATGTTCTTCCCTCTTTTGGCGAGCTATATTCTTTTCCTTTTGATACTCAGCATCTTTCTGCCTATCTCGATGCTCTCGTTCTTCCCGTTCATATTTGTTATCTCTCGTCCTCGCACGATTGTTGACTGCTGTCTGAACGTCAGATGAATCATGAGAAGAGCTAAAATTGTAAAAGTTTTAATTTATTTATTCAATTTTATGCTCCCTTTTTCAAAGATTTAGAGGTAAATAGATTTTGCCCTGTCCGTCTGCCTGTTTGTTTCTTTGTTCACTCAAACTTGTCTGTTACTTTTGAATGGGTGGGGTTATGGTTAACATATTTGCCAGGTGTATTTTTATGTGACAAAACCTTTCGTGGGGTACAAACACATTAGACCTCTGGACTTTGACCTTGGGGTTTGAGTCAATTTTGAAAAAAGACAATCTTTAACCTTGACTATAACTTTTGAACTATTGAAATGTATATGACAGAAGTTCTTTGTTTACTAATGATCTCCTAACCTTGAACTTGGAGTTAGAGATTTAGAGTTTGGATATTTGAGAACTAAAGCTTCAATACGTGTGCACCGGTTTTTTTTAATATCACAAACACATTTTGTTTTCACATATAAATATAGTAGGGTCACACTTGTTTTTGATAAAAGAATGAAAGTTAGTAATTACATTTTAAAGAATGTCAATTTCTTCAACAATTTTTTTTTCTTGAGTTTTTGAACAATTGTTTTTGTATGCAGCGGCTTTGCATTTTTAAGGAAAAAAACTTATTCATTGTTTATAACACAATCAGTTCAATAAAATGATGTTGGATATTATTTTTGTTCACTGTGGTTCGAAAAGGTATAATCACTGAAAAAAAAATTATTTGAAATGTGATGTAACATTTTTTTTATCGTGGATGTAACAAGGGAAATTTTATTTCTTTTAATTACTGTTCCTCCGATTAAAAACTTTGAAATACTAAAAACAAACTTGAACTATTGACGATAATCAAATTTAATCCAGTGATATTTTATTTTTTATCTAACATTTTCTTAATTTTTTTTTACATGTATAGATTGATTAATTAATAATGACAGTGATTACCGGGTATTATTTCGTTAGAAGCAATGTTTCTTCTAAAAAAGAATGCTATTTATTCTCATAAATTGAACAGATTTAGGAAGGTTATGTGTATATCATAACAATTGTCAAATTAATAATATTCATATTTTGAGAATTACTTACAACAAACCGCCCATGTTCTCTTGATAGGAAGACACATAGAAATAAAATATAGAAACAAGAAACGGAAGTGACTAACAAAGACCTGTGTACAATACATGTTATTTACATGTATAACTTAAAGTGTCTTAATTCTAATTTTTAATTTCATTCAATCTTGGTTTTGTTATTTTGAAAAAAAAAAATTAATTTCACATATAATAAAGCATGCCCAACTATTGGTCTATATACCTCTTTAACAATTTCAATATCCAAAGGATGGAGGAAAGAAAACTTTAAACTTTGTTTTCACTTAAAAAAGTGAAAAAGGCAGGAAGTAATGTAGAACAAAACAAAAAAAAAAGATTTTGTTTTAAATTTATCAATATTACAATATTCTGTTGTTGTTTTCACCTCGTTATGCTAGTTTCAATTGCATTGGAATTCGGTAAATATTCTGAACGTAAATCACCAGCTTTTATCTTTCGGGCAATCCTCTGCACACAACCGCACATCTCTCAAGGAGCACTTTAATAGTGGAGCTGCATTCCTTTCACTTCCAAAGTTTTCATGACAAATTATCCTCAGTGAATAACTGTTTGAGATGCTGAGAGAAAAAAAAATCATGGCAAACTGTACCAGAACCAGCAAATGATGTAATTGAAGTTACATAACGGTGCACACTGCACATTTTGTTTTCTCTTAATCATACGAAGATATATATTTTATGTATTCTTGCCAATGTTCATTTTAACTGGATAGTTAAGAAAACAAATAGATGGAGAAAGTATTATTTTTCAATTTCCTAATTACTGTGGGTTTAGGAATCACGTGTGCTAAGAAATGCATTGAGTGTGGATTGGGCGTGAACTGTCCAGTTTTACCCGCGAAGGATTGTGAAGTTGTAACAAGACCTTGTTCCTGCTGCAAAGAATGCGCGCGCAGCGTTGGAGAACGATGTTCTTGGTCCACTGTTAGGTAGGTTTCAATTTGTCCGTTTATATAATCATTGAATTTAATAAGAGAAAAATATGTAACATACCGTCATTCTATTTGTTATTAATTGGGTTGTACAGATAAATTTAATTTAGATATGCAGCGATGATTTTATGATTTTATTTACATATATTTCTCATAAAGTGGAGTCATGATATATTTCTTATAAAAGAAAGAAATACGTGGTTTGGACATTCATAATTACTTATCATTTTTCATTGAACAGTTAAAAAGAAAGTTTCACCAAGCATAATAAAATGTTCATGTTTATAACAGGATTCATTTATTTATATTTTAATCATACATGTTTGACTATGAATGTGATGTTCACATCTCATCCTTGATTTACAGGTGTGCCTCGGGATTGATGTGCATCAATGACGATGGAGAGGCGCTTGTGCATGTCCCTCGCTTCTTGACCTACTTTAAAGGAACATGCCAATTTGTGTGAGTAAATTTTTTAAATTAAGCAGTTTAAATTAGAGGGAAAAGATAAACGAAAAAAAAAGCATTAACTGATTAATATGAAGAATCATTTTTTATTTGAAAAATCTATCATCACTGAACTAGTATTGCTATGAACATTTTGAAACTATATACATGTGAGTTTTTAAACTGCTAGTATATGATGTCTTATATATAATCCCTGTAACATGATAATCTAGGATTTTCATCGAACACGGCCTGGTTTATTACGCTTCAATGAACATTACATCTTTTATATTGTCACCAGAGTACACGATTTGTCAGTTTAAATCATACAGTAATTTAATTAAGATTTATAAGCATAAAGTTATTTTCTATTATAAAGCAATTAATTCAGTAACTTTTCAAAAAGAATTTTATAAATACATAAACATTGTATTTTATTTATTTATTTCACAAAATTTCCATTTTGATAAAAAATAATAAATTTTTAATGATAAGAATACTTTACTAACTTAATGTTAACTAGGCACAATTTTTCTGAGTCAACTAGCAGGGACTCAATTAATCTTCTAATAAATTTATGGAAACGTAGACGAAACTCAAGTAAGAAACCCAAATTAAGAGTTAACGTTTCAAGAGGTTCAGTGTTCATAGAGTCCTTTATTAGAGAATTTAAAAGGCGAAGATTTGGAATAGTGATCATTCTGTAGAAATCTACAAAAAATACACAAATGTGATGAGGTCATAGGTCACGGACCACTGGAACATCCAGAGGTTGGAGCATGTGCTTTAGGAAATTAAGCATCTCCTGTTGATCGGTCACACCCACTGAGAGTCCAATAAATTGATCAAGGATACATTGCATAGTCAAGAACAAAAGCCTAACATGAAGTATGAAACAAGTCATTGGACAGCCAAAATACAAAGTACGACCTCATTACAGGTTAATTAACAAGGTAATGAAATTTACGAATTGCAGATCTGAAGCGAATTTGTAAAAATCCCTGTATCATTAACTTATTAGCTAGTAGCATGCTTCGCTTTAAGAATTGATCATACTCAGAGCATATTCCTGAATATTGAATAAGTTGGGAGTCTTTTAAAATATTTTAAACAGACGATACTGTCGTTGCATATAATTACACGTACATTAATATGCAGTTTGACTAAAGCTGTATTTCACGTATAACAGGGCTAATAAAATATTGCTGCGTAGGGATGTGCGATTTTATCGGTATACCGGTATATCGCGATTTTTTGTTGCGTGATACGTATCGTGATACGGAGACCTAAATACCGGTCTGTAGGTACATATTATAAAGTCCTGAAATTATTCATTTATTTGTTCAATTTTTCAAATAACAATTACAGAAAGTATAAAAAATTTGTAAAAAGTGAAAAGAACGGCATCTTACCGTCCAAACATAATTGAGTTTATATAAATAAAAATTTCAACAAAGTAAAATTTTGTTTTTCTAGCATATTGTTTAGAAAAATAATGACTTTTCATATCAAATCATTGTAAAAACTGCTTTTAAAAATATCATGGTATTATCATGATATTGTGGGAAAAAATCGTGATATATCGCGATACAAAATTTTTGGCGATACCCATCCCTATTGCTGCGTACGTTGATAGGAAAATAGTTGATTTTCAATTATCAGTTTAATAATGTAATGAGAAGGTAACAAAATGTTATCATACTCAAAATTTCAAAAGCAGAACAAACATTGGCACTTTTAAACAACAGCCCTCTTGTCCGAATACACCGGCGGATGTTACTTTTTAATTTTGACAAACTCATTTCAGTTAAAAAATGACTCCCTCTAAATGTGATAAAAAATTTGGGGTATACTTTTCGGAAAGTAGTCGTGTCGAATAACGTCAATCTCTAACTGTTTTTTGTCAAAAACCACAAAAAGTGTTTTATCTTTAATATAAATTAGGACTGCATTGTTGAATTAGGTATGAGTCTCTGAGAATTAAGTATTTCAAGTCTCTAGATTTTGTATCTATGTACCCCTACTCTCGTTTCATTTTACTGTAATTCTTTTCAGTGTTATTCAACCAGTTGTGGTGGAAAATACTGACGTCACAGAAAGAAGAAATCGTATATAACTCTATGGAACATCACAAGTATTCATGTAACTGTTAAACCATTTTTTTTCTAAATTGTATCAAGGTATACATATTTTTAAAAATATGCTTTTAGATTTTATTCCTTTTATTTCATAAGAAATAGCATTTCATTATGCCTGTATTGCCTGTAATTGTCTGTGTATATAACAAACAATGCTACAACTACCTCCCTGTATTTTCAAAGCATTTAGATTTTGAAAGATCTCATGTAAGTTAAGATAATTTTACTACGTTGATTAAGACGGAAAGAGAAATAACCTAAAAGTAATCATTTTGCCAGTTGATTAATGTACCTTCTACTTTTTTAACAGAGCAAATAAAAATTTATTCAAATTCTTTAATTTGGATCCGAGATATGTCTGACGTCGCATTAGCCATGTCAACATCATTAGACTAGAAAAAGATTACTTTAAAATCTTGCTAAGCGTATTATTCAGTTAAAAATCTCTTGCACAACAGTGCCTTTCTGATTATTTTTGAATGATTTGTCAATAAAAACGGAGCACGAAAATTTACTTACCTTCTCATTGGTCATTTGCAAAATTATTTTGTTAAAAACATTCTAATAGTACACACAAGTACTCTGAAGTTGACATCAAAAGATGTTTTAGTTTCTGATTGACAATATCTATGTGGTTTTTGGAGACCAGGTTTTCCAACAATCTATCGGATTCACCAGGGTTTCAATTGCGCAACGTTATTACCAGACCAATTTTTATATCCATATGAAGCAGAATTTGTCCAAAATCTTATACGTAAAAGAAGAAAACACTTGCTTTGGCTTTCAACTTGACATTTAGATATATCGACGACGTATTGTATATTAACAATGGTTATTTTCATTCTTATGTCTATACGATATATCCCGGTGAGCTTAGATAAAAGATAACACAGAGTCTGACACATTGGATACTTTACTTGAAAACACGTTAATGATAATTTAACTACCAGGCTCTATGATAAACGTGATGACTTCAACTTTTCTATCGTCAACTTCCGTACGTACACTGCATGCAGCAATATACCTTCATCACCTGTATACGGGGGTTATATATATCTCAAATATACGCAAGAGCAAGCTTTACGTACTAATGTACAATTTCGAAATCGAGGCAAATTATTGACAAACAATTTGAAGAAAAACGAATATCAACAGTCTCGTTTTAAGGCATCATTTCTTAAGGTAGGATTCTTCTCACATTTCTAATATTTAAAAATTAATGAAATTTTCACAGAATCAAGAAGACAATATCAGTAAGTGATAGTATCAGTGAAATTAAATTTGACCGTTTTATATTAGAGGCAAGGTCAGGTCAAGGTCATTATCCTTTTCCTTGACATTAAGAGTAAAAAATAACTGTTGCCAATCATGTGATACCTACTTCTACTTCAAAAGTTTAATGCTTGTTCTTTTTGCATAAAAACATATTACTATATTGGGTCTATAACATGATATTACCAAATTTACGTAAATAATTTAACTTAACTGGATATTGGCTAATCCGAATTTTCTCTGTTTTTTGTAATTTTTTAGGATATATTAGTTATTTTCATATGCTTCTTATATTTAACTTTTTCTTATTTTCACAAATAATAAAGTAGTCTTATAAATGTACAAAACAATACAAAAACTAAAAGTTTTCATCGTTTACTAAGAGAGAAAAAATACTTTTTATGGATTTTTGGCTCAAATCTGCACTTTATAGGAAGCGTTTAAAAGCTAATAAAGTTCTACTTTGTTTGAAAAATCATATTTATTTGATATATTTTAAAAGTTTAGTCCCTCATTATTAATCTAACTTACATTTGAAAATTTCTCCAAGTCTTCGATTGTGTAAAAATTATAACTAAATTCATTGTTCTTTTATAATTTTGAAAG